TTTGTTGGCTTTTCTGGGCGCTGTGCTTGGATTTTTTACATGTTCATCAGATTTTCTGGGTATTTTTATACGAATTTCTGGCGATTGTCCTGTTAGATCTTGGATCACAGACTTTTCATCTCTCCAAGTGTTTTTATTAGTTAGTCATCTTATCATGAGGGATTTAACTCTTCTTTTTTCTCATGGATTGATGCGCCATCGGCTTGGCCTTCATCTGTCGAGTCGAGTTGAAACGAGATATTTTCCCTGTTTTGTTGTCGAGTCGCTTCTCGTGCCTTTCTGGTCATTTTGTTGGCCCTTGTCTTTTGAATCGAATCTCGGTCGTGTCTTCCAGTGTCTATTGATTATTGTTCTTTTCTTTTCTTTTTAGATTTCAACCTCGACCCTATTTCTGATCCTGTCTCCGGTTCTCTTGCCCTTGAAATTGATGATTATTCGGGTTCGGACTCTGTCCACCTAACCGATGTCGGCCCATGTTCACCTCAAAACTTCGAGCCAGAGGGCTCTGTTAACTCCAATGCCTCACCCTTCGGTATCGACTGGGTTGTGTACAATCAGGCGTTGCTTTCGGGCGCACTTTGTGAGGATCCTGAAGTTCTTCGAGCTCTTGAGTCTTCTCGCCTCGACTTGGTTCCTCGAGGTATTCTCCGCTAGGTTCTTCTAGTCATCCTCATAAGACAAGCCTTGTTCCTTTACTGATAGTGACCCCCTTAATCAAGTCTATAACTGTATGTTCCGCGGCAAAGTTCTTGATATCGTTTTCTTTTGCTCCTGCAGCCGAAATCGATGGCTTCAGAGAGTACAGTGGCCTTCCTTCTGATTGGGCTTTGGTTGCTCCCACATCCGAAGACGACTTTCGTCACCCTCCTAAGGGTTGTTTTACTTTTTTGTGGATCAAATAATGTCGGGCTTGCGTTTCCCGATTCAACCCGAGTTGCTATCGCTAAGTAACCTCTTCGATGTACCAATAAATCAGTTCACCCCTAATTCCATTCGAATAATGGTATCTTTCATAGTTGTTACCCGCGTAGTTTTAGGTGATTTTCTACCTGAGTTTTTTCTTTACTGCTATGGGTATAGGTTTAGCAAAGACGCCCATTGTTTGGGCCGTCGAGTAGGTGTTACCTTTCTTGACGATCTTTCTTCCAATATTACCGAATAGAAGAAGAAGTATTTTTTTCATTCGACCTGCCCCTGGCCAATATCCCTTCTCGAACGAATGGATTACCAGCAAGACAAAGCAACGTAAGCGTCCTCGCTCTTCACTATACGCAAGTATGCGGGAGGAACTAAATAAGCACACATGGAGTGCCCGTCGACTGACCAAGGATAACTCCCTTCTCAATCATGTTGGTATTTGTATCGACAAGAGTATTCCTCGACTCAATGACCCTAGTAAGCTCCGTCTGTTTATCGTCTTTTGTCTCGATTTGTTTACTGATTGCCTGGCCTCGTGTTTTTGCGTTTATTTGTCTTGGAATACATGTATGGCTCGTGTGCTGGTTTGTATTGATCGTATTTTCTTTTTCAGTAAAAGCTTTGGCTCGTTTCGAGAAGAAGAAGGCTGAGGCGGCCAGCAAATCAGTTGCTCGGGAGCTTGGGGGAGGCTCAAGTTCTGTTGCCCCTACGGCAGCGGTCGAGACGACTGCCGCTAAAAAGTCCAAAGTCGTTCCCCCCTCGGCCTCTGTACCGAGCAAGTCGTCGGGTCCCCATTCCCGCAAGAGGTCTCATGATCAGAGGGATAAGGCTTTGGCATTCGACTCCTCGAAGAGCCAGAAGGGGAAAGAGCCAACAGCCGAGGTCGACACGGTCGCGCCTCTGGTTGGAGAAAATGTGGGACAGCCGTCGCCCGTGAGGGTACAGTCGGTAACCCTTCAACAACCTTCTCGGCTCTATGACAACCCCGACTCCCTCCAAATTCTCAACTACCTCTAGTCAGCTCTTCCGGAGGACGACCGAGCTCGCTCCGACGGTAATCCTTACGACAGAGCTCGTTATGCCGCTCGGCTCATCCCCCGGGTAGGTTTAACCTTATGTTTGTTTGCTTCCTTTTCATTGTTGTAGTATTGTATCGACTTTTTATTATTCCGTTCGTTCTTTTTTCAGCTTCTCGCCTGCATTCTTCCTACTATGATTGAGGAGGCGACCTCCCCCGAAACTAATGTTAAGGTTTTGGGGGAGAAGTATGCGGCTAAGTG